AACTCCTGAGCTCAAACAATCCGCCCGCCTCGGCCTCCCAGAGAGCTAGGATTACAGGCGTGAGCCAACGCGCCCGGCCCTGTTCTTAGTTTTTAGCATGTATTATCTTAGGTACTCCTCACAACAATCCTATTCGCATTTTACAGATCCCAAAACTGAAGCCCTGAGAGATAAGTAACTTGCTTGAGGTCACACAACTAAAAGTGGCCTCGCAGGATTGGAGATCAGGCCTTCTAGTGCCAGAACCCACGCTCTTACCCATTGTGTGCTGTTCTGCCTTTCAGAACAAACAAATCAATGAACCTAGGTCAGGACGTTCTTGAAACATATAGGTTTTGAGAATGTCCTTTGATTATTGGGGCAAAGGCTTGTTTGGTCTATCTCTTAAGTGAGAGTTAATTATCCTAAAGACTTTGAAGTTTCTCCTTTAAAAAATCCAAATATGGGCAAGGCGTCCCTATTTGTGCAAACAGGTAAGAAAGCAGCTTTCCACCTGTGGCTACAATGTCAGGTGCACAGCCAGAGCCATGAGATAAACAACCATACTGAATTTTGTCCTCAGTATTGTTCATCTTGCACTGCCCTCCCCTTGTTTTGAACTGATACGTCTACCAGGGACTGAGTATCTAGAGCTTGTCCATCCTCTGCCACCCTGCCAGGAAGAAACTGGCCTGAGAAGCCCCTGATACCTTGGTGTGCATTAGTTCAGTATGTAACCCAACCTGGTAGTACATTCAGAAAGAGATCCAAAGTGGCAAGTTTTTCACAGCAGTCTTTCTCAGACAGAGGTCCCTGGTGCAAGGGTATTTAGTGCTAATTAGTGGGACTGTCCCATTACCACGGATGTTGCACATACCTATTTACTTGCTTAGCCCTAAATTATTTTACCTGTAATATCACAGAAATGAAAGCAGCTTTTATAGATGCACACACACATACATATTTTCCTTTTATTGCTGAACCATCTAAGAGTCAGTTGCAGACATTGTACATTTTATCCCCTATCAGCACGGATCTCCTAAGAAGAAGACTATTCTCCCTCCTAACCCCAGTACAATTATCACACTCAAGAAAGTTAACATTGATGCTGGGCGTGTAATCCTAGCACTTTGGGAGGATCATTTGAGGCCAGGAGTTCAAAACCAGCCTGGGCAACATAGAAAGACCCTTGTCTCTACAAAAAAATTTAAAAATTAGCCAGGTAGTCCCAGCTACGTGGGAGGCTGAGCCAGGAGGATAGCTTGAGTCCAGGATTTCGAGGTTATAATGAGCTATGATCACACCACTGTACTTCAGTCTAGGTGACATAGCAAGACCCTGTCTCAGGCTGGGCGCAGTGGCTCACACCTGTAATCCTAGCACTCTGGGAGGCCAAGGCAGGAGGATTGCTTGAGCTCA